CCCCCCCACCTCCCACCAGCTAGCTATAGGTGTGAAATACTCTGGTCCATTTCAGCACCACCCCCTACATCCTCCCCTCTACTTCCTATCTCCACACCGGCCAGCAAACCTAGATACCCTGAGGAGCTTCACCAAGAGAGTCGCATCTGGGCAAGGCTATTCGTTTGCCGGGATTAAAAAGAGGGCCATCAACTTCTTGAGGACTCAGCCCAACCTCCCTCCCCAAGACCTGAGTCTACCCCTTTCCCACGAATTCCTGCTTTCGTCCCCCTCACCAGAGCGCACGGATGCTGAAAGTGCCCAACAGACAGCGGCACGCCGAGCCAACGCCAAGAAACCAAACAAACATACCCAGCGCAAAAAAATCAAAAAGCGCCACCTTCTTCTACTTCAAATGCCCAAAACTGGTACCGGTACAATGAAATCACACGAAAACCCTCCTACTCTGGTCCCTCATTTCCAACCTCGGGGACCCCCCCTCTCCCGAAACGACATAATAACGGGACTGAAGGGACCCCGCCAACGAAAGGGGGCGACGCTGAATAAATTCCCTCCCTACCTACCTCCCCCCACCCCCCCCCGCGAGCAAACAATGGCACAAACAGAAAAAACTGGACCGCACGCTACTACAATAGACCAAGTGCAGCAACAGCTACATGTACCAAGGGGAGGTGGGGGGGTGTACTCATAGTCGTGCATGCCGTAGTCGTTAGACCATTGACCTCGCATCCCTACAAAGCCGGGACGGAGCACGCCGGGTTCTCACCGGAGGTGGGGGGCAACAAATGGACAACAAGGAAAGTTAACAAACCCTAACCAACGACCAACCAACCGAACCTATCTACGGAGTTCCCCTACCTACATCCCATCACCTTGCGGTCAAACGAGCGACAGCTGTTATCGCAGCAACCCTCAGGCCGATACGGGCGCGGCACTAGCGGCGGCGGCCTTCTCCACGTGCGCATCGCTCCCGTCCGGGTTCGTCACCCCCCTCTCTGCAACCTTGTCGACTGCGTCGCCCCTGTCGCCCTCAACAGCAGCAGCACTACCCTCGCCGTTCACCGGCGCTGGCGGCAGAAGCTCCTCGTAGTCGGGAGGCGGCGGTGGCGGCTTATCACCCCCGCCAGCCTCGTCCCCTTCAAACGCCACCGCCCCGATGCCGTTCGTAAGGGAGTCCATCTCCTCTCCGGCTACCACGTCCTCCACCGCTTGGTCAGGTTCTTCTGCTTCCTCGAGGGGGGGGGTGAGCTGGGAGCTGTCGGCGGGCATCATGGCCGTGGCGGAGTGGAGGTCGTCGAGGACGTCCTCGTCGTTTTCCGCGGGGACCCAAGACCACCGCGATCTCGCGGATCTTCTCCACCTGGGGGGGGGGGGGGGGGGGTGG